AGGAACTGCATATCTTCCAGTACCCAATTCACTCATGGAGTGCCGTAAGGCTTAGTCCTCTGTCTTTCATTCTCTATCTGCATACAACCTTTTGGTCAAATATTTCAAAAGCAGCACATCTCTATTCATGCAGATTCTCAGATCTACTCAGTTACTATTAAAATGTCCTGATTCGTCACTTAATCCAGATCTTCACATTTACAGTTCCTGTCGTTAAACATTAAACCTCGTTGCAGAAATCACATTTAATAAGAGGTATAATTTTGATTGTCATGCTAAGTCTATTGTCCAATATCGCCTCCTGCATTTAAAAAAAATCATTCTTTTCTTATCTGCAAAGCACTTTGAAATGGGAATTTATGCTTTTGGTACATTCAGATTGTATTACTTCAACTCTCTATATCCATCAATATCTCATCAGTAGAATCTATCCATGCTTTAATTGGTGTTCTTCTGGTGGTGCTATAATGCTAAGATCTTGTGACCGTGAAGGCAATGGTGTGTGATTCACATTCACACATTTTTATAATTCATCAAACCACTCAGTGACCTATGTATGGAAGCATCTGCACTTGTTTGTTCCAGGTTTTCATTTCATTTAGTACATCCTCATGCTCAGCAAACATACAGTACAATAAATGACATCTGTAGCTGTGTTCCAATCTCAAAAGCAACAAATCTGACCTCAGAGACTACAAAGACCGTTTACATTAAGATTTAGAAGTAGTCTCCCATGAATTCTCTTATCAGAAGCCTTTTTAAACCCTGTATTGCCAAGAGTCAAGCAGGCGAGATAGGGACGTCAACGCCTGTGGCAATGCCCATCCTGAAGATTAAGTCAAAGCAGAGGCAGACCCTTTGCTTTGTTTTCCATGTCTGGAGACCAACAGAGAAGTACAAGGGAAAGTGATGAGATGTTTCCAGGTGTGAGCTCGTGGGGTGTGTCACAGCTTATTGAGGCACAACTCTACCCTCTTCTCCCTTGAAAAGCTTGTAAATCAAACAGAATTACACAAGGAAAAGTAGTTGGTCTGCTTTTAGTCATCTTCCCTCTGTCTCATATTGAACATCGGTGTTTGTTTTTGATGATCATCCACAAAAAAAAGAGCATTTAGCAGCAGAACAGATTCAATTGAACAGTAAATTCTGAGGGATGTTGAGCTAGGTTGACAATGACTATGTTTTAGTTTTCTTTCACGTTTGCTTGAACTAAACAGCATCCAAAGCTGATCAAACATTTTGATCACTGGGCTCCTTTCTAGAGAGTTATAATCTCTATATGAGATTTACTAAGCCTGCCTCTAAAAACCTCTTCATTTTTTATTTTTTAATGTTTTTTAAATGCATTACCAGCATTACCTTGCTTCATTAAAGTACTGTGAATCTACTCTGTTATTGAAGTTCATTTCAAGTGCTATACAAATAACAATGCTTTGAAAATTATATCAACACTATGTATAGACCACATGTGCTTCCAGTTAAGATTTCTTTCCCAAAGCTCAGCAGTGAAAATAAATAGTCCAATTCCATTACAATGCTGACATCTAGTGGTGCTGTCCCATTTGTGCACAACAAAGAAAGAGTTACTGTGCAGAAGCTGTGGTTTAATCCTATTTTCTTTATGTTGCATCTTATTAAGACACTTGAATGCACACATGAGAATTAACAGCTTCATGGCACATCAGGAAAATATTCATGGAAAACTAAGTGAAGTAATGAAAATGTGATTAGTTCAATATTTTCATATTGCATGGTGTTGGTGTAGCTGTGTTATGTCAAACAGAGGGAGCCTGACTGAGGCCTATGATGCAGAGAAATGACAAGACTCACTTGTCGGACATGACTCGCCACTAGCAGCACTTTGCTAAATTACATCACCGTCACAGTGAGGTCACCGTGGGCACACACAGGTGCCATGATGTCTTTCTGTTTGCTTGGGGAAAACCCTGAATGGATGGACTGCAGACACAGAGTTGGTGTGTGTAACGTGTTGATGGAGATGAAATTAGCTGAATAGATTCACTAGGCGGTCACTTCTAACTTGATGGATTTTTTTCAGGGTATGTAGAAGTCACACATTTAAGCACTTATTAAATCTATTTCACTGTCTGATCTACATTCAGTTGCTAGAAGCATTTTTCTCTTGCATTTAACACCGTCGCTGACTTGGACTCTGTGCCAGTGCTGACAGCTACTGGGGAGAAGAAAAGGTTCTGTTCATAGCTGCTCTGACTTCCAGAGTTCCCCCTCTGCAGCTGCCCAAACCCTCCAGCTCCTCTGTGTAGCTCTCCAGTTATTTACTATACTTTGAGTGAAAGTGTCATACAGAACAAATATTTACTTGATGATGATTAGAATTATTATCATGGTTAAACTTTTGATCGCAATGACGTAATTACCAAGAGAAGTTTTATGAAGTCTGGTCTAACTATTTTATGTATACAAAGAAAGAAAAATAACAGAATGACCCTACCCTTTTTTATATCTATATTATATAGAATATCTAGAATATTTATAAATAAATATCTGAACATAAATAAAAATATTTATCAATATTTATTATGTATATAATTTATAACTTTTAGAATTTATTATGATTGCACTATTATTTAGATTACTTCAATTGTTTCAGTAACAATCCCTTTAATCACTGGACAGTTGAGTCTAATTTTGGTGGAATAGATCCTTATCAGAGTAATATTAATCAACAGCCATTCAGGAAGACAGTGAGCAGTGGTGAAAGAAGTGTTAGGGTTACACTTAAAAGTAGCACAGTGGAAAAATACTCTATTACAAGTATTGGAATAACATTTCCACTAAAGTAAAAGCACACAACAAATATTTTCACAGAAAATGTGCTCATTTTGCAGCAAAATTGCCTTTGTCAAAATTATATTATTAGATGTTACTTTCGATTCGGTTATTATTATTGATGGACCTGTAAGCAGCATTTTAATGTTAAAGCTGATCTACTCTTAACTACTTTATATAATGTTGGTCAGTTTAATCTGAAGCATTGCATCATATCTTATAAAGTGATTATGAGTTATTTTATGTAAAAACTGCAAAGTAGATATAGCTGTCAAAAAATACAATCAAGCAAAAAGTAAAACATTTACTTTTGAAATGTGACAAAAAGGTATAAAGTAGCAGAAAGTGGAAATACTCAGGACAAGTACATGAAAATTGTACCTAAGTACAGAGCTTGAAGGAATGTGCTTAGTTATTTTCCACCACTGGATGTGAAAAGCAGTGATTGTATGTGGCCTGCTTCCGTCTGGTGTGTCACCAAGGAGTTTCATTAGTCTTTGCCAGGGTTACAGTGTATAATAAATTCCACTAGATGGCGCTATACATCCTGCCTTCTCCGGTGTTCCTGCTGCCTGCGGAGGCTGTAAGATGTGTATAGCCTACCATGTTTTCCCTCCTCCAGGCGAGTCAGTAGCCTAATGTTTATATCAACACTTTCTGGATGAATAATGACCGGTTTGACTGGATAAATGTTGTATGACTAAATGACGAGTCAATGGAAAGAATCAGGGATAATTAGTTATCCGCACATCTAACACTGTCGAGGTGATACATTTCCTCTTAGTTTGGATATTATAAAATAGACTCTGTAAAATGTAGCCTAAATAAACAGCTTTGTATTCAGTTAGCCTATTTCATGATTATACATCCAGGCCTAGATGAAGATGTACAAATTAACTCCAACAGGTCAAGTAAAGTTAAACCCAAACGCTCCCTGAAGAGTTAAATCGGAGCAATACATGGGCCTAAGGCAAGATATTTGACAAAAAATCCTTAGGCTATCTAATTCGTTTCTGGTTGTCATATTAGCTATAGAATTTGGTTACAGCTGTCAAACAAAATACACAGTCCACCATTTGGCTAATTGCTGGAGCTGTTTGTCATCAACTATTAAATGATAACATTTCATGAACAACAATAGGCTTGACTTGATAGACGTTTTTATAATGTTAAATAATTACTATCATCATCATTATTAGTAATTCATAGCCTACAAAAAATGTGAAAATAACGGTGAAAATGTTCAGTTTTCAAAAAAGGGCGACAATTCAACTGATTAAATTCTTTGCATTAATTTTAGTCTTCTTGTTACCTCTATAGCCTACAACCCTGTTAGTCACTGATGTTGCACAACCAGGACTTTTTTTTAATCATCAGATAAGCATCAGTGGCTGTAAATGGAGAGACCGATCAGCTATCAACAGCCACTTGACATTGAGAAAGGGAAACAGACAGTGTGCCATTTAAACTCAGTGGTGCGGCCAATATTATCGAATATTTTCGTTGGAATAAGCAGCTTGTCATGCGGGCAGCTTTAAAGTTGGGGTTTCAAAGCTGTGAACTAAAGTAGGCTAATGCAATTTGAGAAAAACCGTTTCCGTTTAATTAATGCTCAAATATGGCCCTTTTGCACACACCCAGGATAGCCTACTTCTAATTTTCTGATGACAAGAACATTAACAACACTGTTTTTGTAATTTTACAACATCAGAGCATCATATCAAAGAACATACAGTGTAGTGACGGAAACAAAACATTTGAGTTTTCATTTGACATATTAAAGGATAAATAAATGCAAAAATTGGCCAAAATGCCTAATTGGGGATCTTCTTTGGAAAAATCTAATAGGCCCCAGAGATTTAGTTTTATTCAGGTCATTGTGAATCCATCAGTCCGTAGGAAAAACTTCTCAACTTAACTCAACTAATTTTACATTCATGGCATACAGGCACAAATAAAGGCCTGGAGACCTTAATAGTGGTCTCAAGCAATTCACACATATTTATTTCTGCATTTTAGAAGCTTCAAGCCAGGGAGTGAAATCCGGACAGGTTGTTATAGCTACGCAATCCACAGGGGTTCCGATGTCTATTTAAAACCCCTCAGACCCTCCCTCTCTCCTTTAAACAACATTATATATCACACACACTGCATGCTAATGCGGTCAATTCTCTATGAGCACTAAAACACATCTTAAAATTAGCTCGTTCTTGAGCTCGTCTGAGTTCAAACTGCCTGACTAGGCAATAGAGGGAACATATCAGCAGAATTCCCCCTTTGGCAATACCTGCTGATTGGGTCCTAAAAAAAGCAAGCTGCTTTTAACTTTTAATATTTGGCTCCAGAGTGCTGTCACGGGTAGTCGCGAAAGATAGAATCTCCCTACTTATTTTAGAAGCATAGAAATAATAATCGATCAGTGCAGAATCTTTTTTCATTGTTTTATTTTTTCTTCACTTCAAATCTCAGTGCGCGCATGAGCGCGCATGTAGGCTTTCCACTGGAGAAGTTTTGCGAAACTTTAAGGATGATATACCTTGGATGTTTCCTGTTGCTCTGTGTGCTTACGCATGTCATGGCAAGTTATCCCATCTGGTGGTAAGTTTTATTTTCATGATATCCAGAACATGTGTCGACTCTTTTTTTATTTATTTGAGAAGTATCCGATGATCCGTTCCTGTGTCAGTTTGAGTGGTTGTAGCCTATTTCTAATTTCGTGTCTGACAGCAGCGGTACATTTAGGTGCTCTGATGGTAAAGTTGTTCCAGCTTGATTTTGAGACGTATTTAATACTACCAGAGGTGCAAAGGATAGCTTCAAAACTAGACTAGTGTAATGCAATTAAAAACACATGAGTAAATTTTGCTTTTAATTTAAAATCTATATAGCAGAGAACAGAAAAGACCTGTAGGAACCAATAACTAACTGACGAAAACACTTTTCTGTCTGAATTCTATGTTTGTCTTTTAATTCTATGGACACCGACATTTGCAGCACGAACGATGCAATTTTCATATTCAGACTGCAGCAGGTGCAAAGGCAAAGTTCGTGTGCATGTAAGTGTGTGTGTGTGCGCGCGCGTGTGTGTATAGGGGAGTCAAAGTGGCACAGAAAGAGTAGACTATGAAATCTTGCCCAGGGTTTAGCTTTAATGTAATACACAGTTTTTATGCATAGTCTTTTATTTATGTAGGCTAATTTATATTACTTATGGTAATGGTATGAGAATAATCACTTCAACACTTGAATTGTTTAAATTTTCTTATCAGACTTGGGACATAACAGAAGACTTAATAACCAAATCCAGCACAGTTTGATGTGTAGCCGCATTTCCTGTAATGGATATCATGGATATATCTCAGTCCACAGCTGATTAATTTCCATCTGTTTCTTCTCCTTCCAAATCCTCTCCAAAATCAAAACATGACAACTCACATTGAGAACTGCAGCATTTAATGTTCACAAACTGACAATAACTGATGTCTTTGTTCCATTTTCTTTCTCTCTTTAATCACACAAGAAGCACTAATGAGATTTTAAAAGAATGGTGCAGTAGCCCAATAATTACTCTTATTTAAGAATCTTACGTTAATTAGCACTATTTTTTCACTTGATTTCATTTAATTTTTTTGGATTAATTGGGCTGTCTCATCTTCTGGAGAAGCTCTTGTCTGGTTTCACACTGTTCAAGCTTGATCCATCAGATACACAAATCAACAACATGTTGTCTTTTTTAGCACTAAATCAGCATATGATGTCTGTTTCATTATAAATCATTTCATATTTGGGGTTGCTTAGATATTGGGTGTACCCTAATCTTCTTCCCTTAATGGGTCCCCTGTGGTAATACCGATGAGAAACTAATTACACGCACAGCTGGAAGGAAATCCTGATATAACAGTGGGCCCTCTGAACCGAGAGGTGGAAAATAATACGGACCCAAATTAGTACACTCCTGGGTCTAAAAGTTAGTACATGCAGTCAAAATGGACGATTTTCCAACTTACTTGATGTTCAGTAGATTTTTTTGGAACAGTATGTTTTTGTCATGTCATGTGAGCATGTTTTGAACTTTTTTGTTAGTGCCATGTTTCAGCTCTGCTGATTGACACACTCGTGCACACTTCCGAGGAAAGGCTTTGAATTTGAGTCTCGATAAGAGCCTTTTTTTTGTGGAGCCAGTCATGTATGGCACAATTGAAGGCAGGTTTCCATTCTGTCCTAACAAAAGCACTGCAGCAAGTCAAGAACTAACTCCTGTGTTGATGCTGTGATTTTGGAGGGTGGGTCAGGTGTTTGATTGACGAGTGGAACTACAGAAGCAAAAAGAGTGGCAAGTAAACATAACGGGAGCAAGTTTGCTGTATCACTCCTACCAATACAAACAATGTTTGATTTCAGAAATAGCACGCAAAGTCACCTCGAGTTGAACGTTCTTGACCTAATACTTTTTTTCATACAAGACTGCTGATGTATTTTTTGTTTCGTGGCAACTCATCCAAAGTCAAATAACGTGGTTCCTTTTGGGTTGCGCTCAATACGCCTGCATTGTCTGTCCATTTTCAAACAGCATGTCAGTTATAAGAAGAGCCATCACTTCTGTGAAAAGCAACCTGTGATGTTTTGCTGACAGACCTCAAGGTTGAACTTGGTTTCAAGTGGCCATCGGAGCTGCATCACACTCAGCGTCTGTCCCACTGGAGTCTCTGGGGATAGGGATATGCACTAAGACAGGTTCATGTCTTTCTGTTCTCGACCTGCCGTGACATAGCCTGGCTGCACCCGCCACCCCACCACCCCCTTCCCTGGTCCACCCCACCTTAGAAGATAAATACCTGGAGGTGAAAGCTTGCCGCACATTCCTTTTCCCAAACATATTCTCTTGATGTCAAAGTCGGCTCCAAGGCCCCAGGGCCCACGAGTAAAGTGGTAATTCTAAGGTACCCTGCTTGGGCTTGCTGAAATATGCATTAAACCTGCGCTGGATACACTTTGATGAGAGGGGGAAAGTCTGAACAGAGGCAAAAATTTAATGTGATATACGTTTTGCTTAAGTGTTTGTTTGTAACAATTTTCATTTTTGATAACACAAACCTTAACAGCATTACTGATCGTGTGTTTCTTAATCAATTATACTGACCACCATTTTCTTTGGAGGGCATCTGGTGTGAGGATGAAAAAAGGAAAGCGTGGGAACTCAATAGACGCTTTTAATCCAGACCACACCAGCACTTATGTTTAAATATATAGATATATTTGTTATACCTTGTATCCAACAGCACTGTTCTTCATGCAATAGCTCCTTAAAAAAAATCATAAATCATCCCTGGTGGAACATGCCCTGCCCCTTCTCTTAGGCCATTTCCTAACACAGGAAGAGGTGGCATGGATTACTCAGCTCCACTGAGACAGACACAGAGACACGCACGAGTGGAGCAGCTTAAGCACATTAACTCATGAGGGTTTTGTGTGACACTGTTCAGGAAGATGACCTGGCAGAAATGCATGCAAAAAGACCCCGGCAGGTATAGTCCTGATGAGTAAAATGAAACTCTGGAAGAACAAATCAAATGACGAATCCAGAGTTTTTCAGCTGTCGTTCCTGCCTTGATTAGAGCTAATCTGACCTTTGTTCTGCACTATTTCCTGCTGTTGAGATATAGCTCATTCACTAGCGATGATGATGAAAATGCAATGGAAACTTCAGAGACCCTACATTATTTCTCTGTAGATGAAAAGGAAGAAGAGGTGGTTCAAGACTGGACTCACAAGAGACTACTACTTGTAAAAAATGCAGCACTTAAAAGATGAATTGTTGTGCATGGTTTTCTTAGAGTTTCAGGTCTGTTTGTTGTGCGTGATAGAGGCGAAGAGGGAAGTCTGCACCAGTTTGGGATGTGGACTCAGGTTTCTGCTGGGAATGATGTGCTTCAGGGTATATGGACTGACAAGGGCCAAAGAGAGGTCAGCTTGTAATAGGAGTGCCCTTGTTTACTGATGGATGTTGCAGACAAACTGCAGACAAATGTGATTTCCTCTCGGGGTCATTTTCAACTTGCCATTGCTCGCTTACTGGGTGTCTCATTTATGATTAACTTGAGCGGTCTAGTCTGTAGAAATTAGGTGAGAAATTCTGTTAAAACCAGCGTGACACATAACTTTGACATTTGCTTGCGGGAACATTGGTTTACTCGCCAGGTCATCTGATGGCTTACACACACCTTGACACCTGACAGACAATGTTGAAGTGTAATGTCGAAAATGAAATCTGCCTTTAAATTTCAAATTTCAAAGATATGATTGAGGTATTCAAGGTCAAAATGTTGGCTGCCATCAAAAGTCATCAGCCAGCGGCCATTCGGCTAGTTTTTAAAGAAAGCAGCCTGAGGCCAGTGTCAGGAGTTTGGGTAATCTTGTTGTGATCAGCGATTAGTCCGTGAACAACAGTGAACAGGTCAACACACAGTGAGCTAACTGAGCTGCAAAAGACTGCACACCTGCTCTGGCTCTGCCTTTGTGGAAAAGCCACAATAACTGTTATCAAGCCCATATCACTCTCGGGAGAATCAGCCGATTGTCTGCTGCCAGAGTCTGGACAGTTGACTTGAAATGAAGACCTGTCTGGATTGCCAACAAGCTACTTTGTAGCTACTCTGCAGGGCATTTGCCAAAGATAATAAGAACTCTGTTATTAAATAATCATGTCGTCAAAATATTGATTTAGGGGGCATTTCAATAAAAATGGAACAGCTCAGGTCAGCGGGTCATGCAGAAAAAATAATGTTCACACAAAATTTATATACGTCCTGTAATAAAGAGCTTAACTTGCAAATCAAACACTTTATCTAAAACACAGTACAGCAAAATGTTTCTTAAAATTGGCTAAATTACATCCTACACAATGATACAATGGATATCCCATTTCTATGATTATATAGTTACTGAAAGTCCTAATTGAGAGGACACAAAATAAAGACAGAAAGACAGAGAGAAAGCAGTAAAGGGAGTGAGACAGAGAGATGTAATCAGTGAACCAAGTTTGCACTTGTCGTATCCCAGAATACCTTCCTCAAAGGAAAAGGGGAGGCTGGGCACTGTGTTACACTTAATACACTCTCTGAAGTTTCAATGTAGGGTTTGCACTCTTATTACACTAAGCTGAGGGCCTGTTAAGTGTGCGGACAGTTAATAACAAGGTGTAGTTTTCCAAGTTGTCAGCTTAAGGTCTATGAAGACCTCTAGATACATTGTGGATTTATTATCTTAGACAGAAACATTGCCTGATTCTGCGGTGGCAGGGCTACAATTTCAATACACACAAAGGCCAGGTGTCTGCAGAGAGGGTAGTTAAGGGGATAAAGGATGGAAGCCTAATGTTAGCATCTGGTACAGCAAATAAACACACAATCAAACACATTCAGACGTAAAATTACACTGCAACTGTAGAGGGAAATTAGTCTCCCACTTGACACTCGTGTTAAATCAATAGATAAAGCCACAGGCAGGCTGATAAGATGCAGTAATGAAAATGCACTGACAATGCAACTTCCTCTCTCCTTGTAGGTCACTAGCAGTGGGTCACCAGTACTCGTCACTGGGCACTCAGCCTATCCTCTGTGGCAGTATCCCAGGTCTGGTGCCCAAGCAGCTGCGTTTCTGCCGGAACTACGTGGAAATCATGCCCAGTGTGGCTGAGGGGGTGAAGATTGGCATCCAGGAGTGCCAGCACCAGTTCAGAGGCCGACGCTGGAACTGCACCACGGTCAATGACAATCTTGCCATTTTTGGGCCAGTGTTAGATAAAGGTAAACACATTAATGTGGATTTTAATAAGATGTGCAGTGTGCTTTCTGGAACACAATTTCTTTGTGCAAAAAAAACTGTCAGGGTACCTCAAGCACAGGTCGACAATATTCATGTTTCAACACTCCCCGGTGTTGTAATTTGGCTCCATCTCTGTTTATTTGGCTCATTTTCAATTAACATAAACCCAAACCTATCACCAGCTTTTGAACTGTCAGACAAAACCAGTGGCTTGGTAGCATTTCCTATAATGCTATTTATCCGAACAGGCCAGAGTTAAGGGGCTGTCAAAAGTCTGCATTACCAGGAAACATGTGCCAAACGTGAGAGCACATTTATTCTACAGGAAAAGGTGGATCAATAGGCCTAGTTACTTCATGTACAACCAAAGTTTTATGTAAAGATTATTGTTGGAAGGAAAGTATAATGCTTGACTGTATGTAACATTACAACTGCCCCCAAATTATGTTTCTAGGTTTCTGGGCGTGATACCCTCTCTTACGTTCTTAGAAGTTCTTAATTCTTCAAACCATCTGTAAAAAAAACTAATACTAAAACAAAAAGTGACTTATTGTATTTCTATGATGATTAACTCTTCCATTATCAATTCTACATTCTCTCCGTCTTCTATTTGCATTAGAAAAGCTGCACGCCCTGCATGCATCATTCATTATGCTCATTCAAATCCTTGTTTAAATAGACTTCAGACTGAACAAGCTCTGAGCAGCCTATATGCATGAAATAATGTACACAATTAAGATGAGTGAGTTCTGTCTTGTTGGAGTTTTCTTTAGGAGGGAATCCCCTGTGATTGTTCTGCTGTACAATCCTCTGAAGTGCCTTACAAAACACTCTAAACTGAGTTCTGGAGTTTTCCACAATATATTGTTCCCATAAGATTATGTGATGTATTAGGACTTATGAATATGTCTTAGGAATATGTCCATTCTGGTCTAATCGTGGGATCAGACTGCAGAAATCCCCACTTTACAATACACAATCTGAAGGAAAAAAATCACTTATAAAGCATATCATCATCATAATTCAAAGAAGTTGGGTACTTTGTTTAAAATGGCTAGGCTAGCTGTTTCCAGTCTTTGTGCTAAACTAAGCTTCATATTTAACGGATAGATATGACACTGGTATTGATGAGCTCACCACCTGGGAAGGAAGCAAATGTTGCATTGCTTTAAGATGCTTTTTATAATACAGTGTCCCAGGACACTTGTGTGTGGTTTTTTCTGTCTGTGTTGCTTCTGGCTAACTCCAAAATGAGGATCTAAACCTGTCACCTAGTTTGCAGAAGATTGATGCAAACACAGGGGTTTGGAGGTGAGTCAGGGAAATTGCTTTTATTAATAAACTCCTGAGCTAGTTGATAGAGGCTTGAGCTCAAGTAGGTGGCTAACGATAGGGGTTCCCCATCTGAGCGCTATTGTGGTGCAAAATGCCACCACATCTCTCGCATTGTCTCCCTTCCCAGGCCTAAATTTCAGGGGTACTGGGTGGAAAGATGAGGCAGCTACTGGGCTTTAGTGAATCATTTTGATTGGATTAAGGTCACCGAGGCCCTTAATAATGTGAGAGGTCAAAGTGGCTGGATTAAGTGCCTTTGTCAGAGACCAAGGAGAGTGACTCAGGGGCTCACAGCCCTTTGATAGGGCTTAGTAGGAGAGGGCTTCCATTTCATTGGATTTGATTGATGCTGGTGTTTGTCCGTGCAACAGGGCCATTGTCCTCACTGGTGTCTGTTTGTCTGCGATTGAAACTGTTATGTGTTGGTTTCCTCCGGCCTTTTTTGGGGCCGGCTCTGAAAGGAAGAGTAGGCGCCTTTATAGACTTCAGAGGTTTAGTTCCTATCAGATAGCCCATCACTGCCCATGTCCTCTTCACCTTCACAGAGGACATTAGAAGTTTGTTTTACAGAGGTGGATTAAGCAGAGCACTAGAAGAATGAAAGACATGGACCATTAAGGAGAAAAGGCAATTTTGTGAATTGAGTTGAGACCACAGCTAAAAGAATAGAAGACTGAAAAGAAAACATTGTATAGTTTCTTCTTGTGAAAAAAATGCTTTAATCACTTATACAACCTCCTTTCAAATTAATATGCACAAACATGCCAATTGTGATAATAAATTGGCATGACCACACACAAACATTCATCAGTCTAAATGCACATTGTCACACATACTCACACCCAACCTCATGTGCCAAAACACAGGAGTTAAGTTACCCCTGCCTTTAAAATGGACTAGGTGCATGATCTCTCTCCCTTACACGTGGCCTGATCCTCTGTCTATGTTTCTCTCTCACTCCACACCCCAACCTCCAGGCTATGTCTGCGTCAGCACTCATTAATTTACATTAACTAAAGTGTCAAAACATGCACTGCTGGAATCTACCTTTGATGAAAGGTAATAGAAAACAGCGCAGGTGTTCTTAGTCGGCAGAGCCTATCCCAGGACTGTTTCGGCATTCTTGGTATTTACAGAACACCTACCTACTATATGGGTATAATCAGGCTCCAGTTTAGGAGTCATATGATAGAATTAGTAAGGGCAACCTTGCTACAAAAAGTGGACACAAAATTTAGCAGGTGTTGCCAGCCACACAGGTATAGACATGCACCATCACTATTCTACTTGAAACCATTAAATTCAAATGTGGTTCATAGGAAAGTATTACTTAATATTTAAAGCATGTGGAAGTGAGTGAAAAGTTTCTTGACGTTTACTGCTGTAGCTCTGACCTACCTAACCTTCATTCCCTGTAGGTACCTCCGCCTTGCTCAAACTCTGTATACCAGGAAATCCTGCTAATAAATTAACCTAAATCATTAAGTCCCGTTTAAACTAACTGGAAAAAGGTCAGGGGATGTGGGTTATGACCTGTGACCTGAGGATGAGAAAGTGTAACTATTTAGGATGAGCTAAGAGGTCTTTGCTTTTCATGAGACGTATGTCTCTCCTTGCTGGGGGAGGGAAGCTAGCACACCAGTATATCATTAACTCTGGGCAAGAAAGAAAGAAGGGGTGTGGTAAATGGAGTTGATGGGGGGACCTTAGCCCCACTCCCTGCTGAGCACTGCTCAGAGCACAATATCTTCGCAACCATGAGATTAAGCAGGAGAAAAAGTGCTTTTCCCCATTCACACGCCCTTTAGATTGTTTTATTAAACCATTTGAATAGGGATTTCCCCGTCTGCCGACAAGCGGGGTCCAGCCAATGCATAGTTCTCTGTTGCTATGACTTAACTTGGTCCCCACTAATCACTGGCCAGGGCAAATTTCATATAAAATATCTGGGGCCATTGTGGGACTAACACAGCGTGACAGTGGCAGCACAATAGGGGATTCAACCCCCCAGCAGGTTGTAGGGACCACTTGGCCTGCCAGGCTCTGGCAAAGTTTGGTGGAGGAGCACTGTCGGAGTAAAAGTGTCCTGAAGTACCATAAACTGGTCATAAAAGCAAGAAAAGCTGGACAACTAATTCAAGAGCTGGTGTTTCAAGGTGGAGTAAATGCTATTACAGGTGAATATAGCCCAGAATGTTATATGAAACACCAAGCATAATACATAAGTAGTAGTGTGATAATAATTGTTGAAGCACACACAGAGGATCTCAATAATAGTTCAAAATATGTTCTAAAAGTATTACTTTTGTTGGCTTTTTGATACAAAGTGTAAATGCCTCAACCACACAACAGGTTAAGAATGTGCCTCGGAATTGGCACCATGTTCAAAATGTGGGGTTGAGGAGTATATAGAGAATAATAATGTCCTCTTAAACCGTCTGTGTTCCGTATTTGCACGTGTTAAACATTTATAGAAAATAACAACAGATTTAATCAACTCAAAGGAATAGGTTTGCTAATAGCATAAATCTTGGCATAGATATGTTACGCAGTTTCGTGCTTGAATGATCATGTAATGTAAAGAACTACACTTTGTTGGGTAGTTCATATTCCCTGAATTTGGAAATCAAGACCCTTTTTTTTTTATTATTAAAAAGTGTGGGGCTGTCACACGAAGCCTGTGACCGTAGAGACCTAGGTTTGCTCATCCAGGACTTATTTAATTTGCTCTGATCCTTCTTTGCTCATTTTATCCCAAGATAATCCCCTTTTCCTCTCCCATTTTAACTCCGCCACCTCCTTGTGCTCTGCAGCATCATTGCCAGCCATTTCCAAAGGAGTTCCCCAGGTTTCAGTTAGAGGTCCACATTTCTTCACACTTTTCATGAATAAAAATCAACATTCTGTGACGCAATAAATTTAATTATATTTCTATGCTGATGATGCATCCTTGTATAGCAGAAGGGAATCTAACTAAACTGACATCCAAATCTTGGTTCAAATGGTTCAAATTAGTTAGAAGATTTTGCCCAATTTTATTACAGAATCCCACATCAGCACCTTAAATATAATCCATTTTATAAATACCATGACATTTCAGATGGATCTAGGCCTAACACCTTGGACATACACTTCAACTCACTCAAAAACATGATATGCGTTCTCGGTTTTAGATTATGCATCGGTTTTAGATACAGCCTTCAGCTACCTTGATTGAAAAAAATACAATATCCAAGTGAAACGATCTGTGGTGGATGCAGTAAGAGGGTCTCCAGGAAGGAGATGTATTGTGAACATTAGTAACCTTGTGTGCATACAATAGTAGTTTGAAGTGGGTGGTGGAGGATGCCGGTAGACCTTCTCTTGCGTCATTGTTTCTAATGCCCTTTAGTCCTCAAACTGGTTGGAACCTGCTGTAAGGGAGGAGCTCCTACTCCCTTTAACTTCATACTCCTCCCTTGTTTCTTTTCTTTATGTGCGTCTGTCGTTCTTGTTCTTTAGACAGAAGCCTTCACTGCCTCTTTATCTATCTCATACACATAGACATGCACACACAATCCCACATTTCACCATTTATCTTTAACCATCTCTTTCCATTTCTTTACTTTGTTCATTTCATGTTTACACCTGGTGTTTCCACTTTCTTTATCTTGTTGTCTCTGTCTCTTTCCCTGTGATTGTGCAAGACCATGCAAGTGTTCATATTCAAGGCAACCTCCCTGTCATAATGAGTTCTGTTAAAGCAGGGAATGCTTAAACAAACAATGTCCTCTCTTCTGTAACAGGGAAGTGTTGTTCAGAATTACATATCTGGACACTACACTCCCATCTTTATGTTGTGCCTATGATTTGTCCCTGCAGTGTGAGGCCATTTCCTAACCTTTCAAAAGCTTAATTGAGTCTCTTAATTATAGGCCTGTCAGACCCGTCTCTTCCTCTCATCTCTCTGGAAGATCCTGATCCCTCTGAGTCATCAGTTAGCTATGTCAGACAGAGACTTAGAGGCCTTGCTGGCCTTGTTCAAAGACAGGACTATTGATGTCTGGGCTGAATGAACCCACACATTGGTACACCTTGGTCGATACCACCTAAACACATCTAGCCAACAATAGTAGTGGCCTCTTCAGTATGTATAGTTTCTTTGATGGTGTCTTGTTGGCTTGGGTTGAGAAATATTTGCCTATGCAGTCATACAAGACTGAACACAAGCAGCTATCCATATAACAATGTTTCTATAAATTAAATCCTGAAAATAATCATTAACTTTAAGAAGTCATTACTCATGTGACAATCCATGATTGTTCAGTTCTGCAGAGGTGTTTCTCTGCAGGATGTTGCCTCCGAGTATATTTCCAATGTTCTATGTCTTACAGATATCTGAACTTCTCGTTCCAGCCACTCGAGAGTCAGCATTTGTTCATGCTATTGCCTCGGCGGGAGTAGCATTTGCAGTGACCCGTGCCTGCGCTGAGGGCTCAGCCACCATCTGCGGATGTGACACACGCCACAAGGGCCCCCCTGGTGAGGGATGGAAGTGGGGTGGTTGCAGCGAGGACGTGGAGTTTGGGAGCATGGTGTCCCGGGAGTTTGCTGACGCGAGAGAGAATCGCCCTGATGCACGCTCAGCCATGAACCGCCATAACAATGAGGCAGGAAGAATGGTGAGTTTTCTAAAAGCTAATTTTGCTGATTGTGTTGTAGAAGTTTTTCTGCTATCAGATGTTTAATTAACATGATGATCTTTTCATCCTTAGTCCCTCAATGAAAACATGTTCCTGAAGTGTAAGTGCCATGGGCTCTCGGGCAGCTGCGAGGTCAAGACATGCTGGTGGTCTCAGCCTGACTTTCGAGTTATTGGTGACTACATGAAGGATAAGTATGACAGCGCATCAGAGATGGTGGTGGAGAAACATAAGGAGTCCCGTGGATGGGTGGAGACCCTGAGACCCAAGTACAACTACTTCAAACCCCCCACAGAGCGAGACCTGGTTTATTATGAAAGCTCACCCAATTTCTGTGACCCCAATCCTGAGACTGGCTCCTTTGGCACCCGTGATCGCATCTGCAACCTGACGTCTCATGGCATAGACGGATGCGACCTCCTCTGCTGCGGCAGAGGTCACAACACCAGGACTGAGAAGAGAAAGGAGAAGTGTCACTGTATTTTCCACTGGTGCTGCTACGTCAGCTGTCAGGAGTGTGTGAGAGTCTACGATGTGCACACTTGCAAATAAGACAATCTGGATCTTGTCTTTTCCCACCAAAATTCAAAGACGTCAGTAGGCAGAAGAACAAATACAGCAACTTATCTTTAAGACATGAGAGACTGAGCAGCTGTCTGAGCTGTCCATGGACTCTAATGGCAGACACGAAAGCCTTGTGTTTGATGCTGTGATGCTGAAAAGAGCCAGTCTCCGCCTTAATCATCTGAAACAGTTGAGTAGATTTTAGCATCACAAAGCATCATCCGTATGAACCGTGATGATGGTGATAATGACAACAATGTTGATATCTCTAGCGATGACGAAAGAGTTTTCATGTATTGACGTAGGAAAGGAGAACTGTCGGCTAATTGACAAACATCATATTGGTGATATGTGTTTCCAAGTAGTTACCTTTTTTGAGAATAGTACAGCACTGCCAATGCTCTATGGGACAAAAAATGAAAATGTTTATTTCTTCAATGTTTAATCACCACTTGTTTTTGCCACAAAAGGTGGCAACATTTATGAGTAATTTACATGATCAGACACTCAATGGCTTGCATTCTCCCCCTCAACAAGTATGTGTGTGTATGTCTGAAAACTAACATTATGATGTGAATGAGTTTTTTTTTTTTTTTGTAGTGTTAATATATTACTGATGTTTGGGTAAGCATGCACTTGCACCTGAGTGAATGTAGTTAATTATGCTGCAGTGTGTTTACATATTCTCTACATTCTTAAGCTAGCGAGTTAATATCTGCTTTAAATTACTAATTTTATCTTCAGAGTAGATATGACCCACACCAACTGGACATCATGCAAAACAAGAGTATACACAGTCTGTGCATTTCCTTAAACACCTGAAAACTCTGGAAGCTTTTTCTTAAGAGTAACAATGCTTTGAACAACATCGAGAGTTATGACCAAAGACAAGAAAAGAAACCCCCATGTAAGTCTGATGTGGTCAGAGAGCTGTAAATAAATATGAAAGGTCAGCACTTGTGTCCCATTGAGAAATATGAAGCATGTTCTCCTTGTTTTTATCAGTATTAGCAATGTCTCGTGTGGCAGGGTGTGGGAATAACTGTTATTTATAAATGGGATAGTCCCACTATATTTTGTTTCATTTACATGCATATAATATTGTTTTATTTTGATATTTGATTACATAGAGGTAAATTCTGTACTCCCTGGTAAAATAAAACACAAATGGCAAACAAACCGCAAACAAAGCTCTGTATAATGCAGTACAATTAGTTGTTGTAAAATGATGACCAAAACCTGTGCATGTGATGATTCTCAGCTGTGGCTTCTTGTACCCCAAATTTAACAACAAGCAGCATCACTGAAAATATCAATTCTTCCCTTATTTTAATGCTGCTAAGTAAAGATAATATGTGAGTGTGTTTGTGTGTGCGTTTAGGTCCTTACATAAAGTATGTCTCTGTCTATTTGTGTTATATGTATATTCTTACATGTATTGATTCTTTCTGTGAAAGAAATCTATTATATGTAGTTTGGAAAAAATGTGAAGTTTTGACTAATTCTTGCATACAGTAATTCCCATTTTAACCAAATAGACCAAAATAGAGTTTATGTTATTTTAGTTGCCTATGGTTTCGTAGTCAAAATGATGTCATGCTGCTCTCCTTCAATTTCAGAAGAAATACAAAACAGTATTTATTTATTTGGAAAGTGAAAAACTACTGAAAGCTGAGACATGATGTCTAGACAAGTAACATAATGTTTATGAAAATATGTGCGTGCCGTTTCACTGATAGCCTCGACTATGGAGAGATGTGTAAGGTCACTGATGAATGAATGTTTACAGCCAATGTAATGCTATGTCTCAGGCATGTATTGTTCTCAGACTTTAATCAAAATTGCCCTCCCATGATTATTTTTTTTCCTGACTGAAAATATTAACGAGCAGCCATAACCAGTTTCACATTTTAAGTCATCTTAATTAACTACACAGCAACCATTATTGGTACAGATCTCCAATCTTGCGTTTATTACTGTACACTTCATATGTGACTGATTGCTTGTGTGGAAAATTTGATTATGTTCTAATTTTTCTTTAAATCCAAAGTTTTGTACAAACTAGGTTTTTGCGTTTTTATGGACTTCTAAAATTGGATGTTTTTTATAATTATTTATTTCATTCTATGTACATATTAGTAAGTAAAAGTATATATTTGCAGAAATACATTTTTTAAAAACAGTGTTGTAACACTGTAGCCTTTTTACCTCATCTCTGTTTTTTCACTGACTGCACACAGGTATCGTTCGTCCTACTGCCTGTAGTAGATTTCTAAAGTTAACTCTGTAACACCAAAATAAAGCAACATAAACAACCAAACCGGTGTTCTATTATCTATGAACTTTACATGTATTACATTATTTTGTTGATTTTTATGAATCATGAATGCCAACAAATGACTACATCCAAAGACGGATCAATGACCAGTGCCCATTGACCAATGGGGATTGACGTGGGAGAAGGCTCTGGGACACAGTCACTTATATCATACAAATAACATGTGTGTATAAATGCAGCACTTGAATCTGAAGATGATAGCACATTGTGAAATAAATAAGTAACATTATCCTGGGTATTAAGCCATCAGGTGCCTTGAAAAATGAAATCCAGCTCTTTTAAGCAACACAGACTCAAATTCAGACATTTTTAATCAAACGTTTGTGTTATAGCTTGCTCTTATTTTGAAGGGGAAAAAAGCTTTAAAAATGGGTGTAAAGTAATGACAACATGCTGTGGTAATGAAAGGGAGATCCCAAAGATGATTTATCCAGGAGCACCCAAACTGATATAATAATTTTAGCAATGAGTAATAATAGTATGTATAGTGAGTAATAATAGTAAGTGCTGGAGCATAATTGGTTTGATGTTCACATCACACAGTGTCTTGCAAACATGTGCATTTCTTGCAGTGTGAGAGATTTAGAATTTGCTTTTACTGCGTCTTTAATATAAACCATAGCATTTCATATCACAATCATGCAACTTCTAAAATCTATATTTTGATTGCCACAATATCTTTCCACATTCAGTAAGAAAATAAGAAATGCTTTCCTATGTTACATTTCACAAATTATGTTGAATTGAGGGACGTGTAGGTTCAGGTGATGGCAAGTCAGAAATAATTTAAATAAGATATCTGTCACAGTATTACTGTTTGCAAACAGAAGCAAGACTGCTCTACTGACTCTGAACCCTTTTCAGTGAGAATCTTGGAGGTAAGCTTGTAGTTGGCACACATGAGTTGTAGTTATCATGTTAAATATCAAAGGGCGTCTGAATAAGCTGCAAGACTTCCTGATACCGTAAATATGCTATTGCAATCTACCACAGATAATACAGATGTCGGCCATTGATTTCTTAATGAAAAAAGAAATCTAAACAGTCACACACTTGGAATATGGACAAGTTGGCAGTCATGAAGACTTACAGATTTAGGTCATAGTGCCCAAATATGAGCTACGGATTTGTCTTAGGACAAAGAAGAAGAAAATAAAGCTGGACTAATATTTTGATTCCTTTGAGAGACTGCAGAAGCCGACTGTGCTTTTTGGAGAAACAATAATGACCTGGAGGCGGGGGGGACAACTCAGTGATGAGAGTTTAAAAATAGATGGAGCTTTATAGAAGAGAAAGACCTGATCTCAAGATAGATTAGGTTTGGATGTGAATAGAGCCCACTGGTGCTCCGGCTCAGCCGCTGGACCCCTGATAGTCTTTGAGCCCTGCAACAATGTCACCAGCAGAGGCCAGGTCTCACTGCTATCTAACCCCATTATCTCACAGAAAGATGGATACACACCCCCTCCAGAGAGGAAGCACCACAAAAAGTGATACCTTTCCGTTCTCATTCATGTGGATTCATTAGTCTGCCCACCCCCACATCAAACTATACTCAAAGCCGTTTTTTCACAGTTAGTCCTGCAACTAAAATTCATTACTTTGGTGTACTTGTATTCCTAGATATTCATGAAAAATGCTATGGCATTTAAACCCTGCCTCATGATGGGAAATGAACTAGGACTTGCTGAAGACTCCGTTGTGTATGAACTCCTGGGAGCCAGCCAGGTTCAGGTTTGGTTTAGTGACCAGGAGGCTGTCGGTGTCTCATTCCACACCTCGACCTTTGACACTTTTCACACCATCGAATGGGAGAAAACAAGTACAAAACATGAAACAGATCACAGGATGGACAGAAACTCCAGCCCTGCAGCCACGCTGTCTTTTGGCTTAAGGAAATGGGCCCTTCCCTTTAGCCAGACCCACCTAGCAGCTTTGTCACCCAAGTGAGATGAACATTGTTAGCAGATAGTTGCCAGAGGAGACTGTGGCGGCTCCAGTGAAAGAGATGGCATCCTGACTGTGAGAACTTTGACGCGACCAGACTGCCAGAGGTACCACCAAATAACCATATAAAAGGGAGACAATGGGCCCTAATTGCAATCAGTGTCCTCTTTTTATTTTATGTCCTGAGTTTCACCCTGATATTCACAAAAGACCAGTGCATGCATTTCAATAAAGCTATGTTAGTGTGGGGCAGACAGGAGTGACAGATATACAGTGGAGTGGTGCAAAGGCCCACACTCCAATGACAAGATGCAAATACTCCCGCGGGAGTCACACTTTGGTTACAGCCAGCATCTGGTTCGCTCTTCCTGAGGCCTTTTGATGTTGATGATGTCGAAAATAAAAATCACAGATGACAAACATGCAAGCTGGGATGATTATTAATACCTAATATGTACCACCTACATAATAATAATAATAGCTTGTTGAGTTTGAATGTCAAAAGTTTGTTGCTCAACACTTCAACATGAGATGTGTTTGAGCAAAGAATTGTGGCTTTAAAGAATGCGATTCTCAAAGCTCTTCTTGTTTAGGCTATAGGTCATGCACACCAAAGGTGACGGGCCAAAACTGGGCTACAGAGGGGAAGAGGGCAGTGTGTGGGCATTTCATTATGTAACTAACTTTGAAGCCAGTCTTTTGATGTCTATATGTTCTTCTGTGTGAAATGAGATGACTCCCTTGGATTCAGTAGGGGTAAACCGGGGCGAAAGTAAGACGGGACGAAAGTAACAAAGCGATTTTCTCAGAGCCCTGACTGCATTTGCAGTCCAAGCTGTGACAGCACCTTCAGCACGCAACCCTTGATGGAGCTGCCAAATATATATAAATAACAAGTGTTACTTTCAGCCCGCTACAGTGACAAGTGTTTCTTTTGTCCCGCTGCTAAAGTGGTGACTTTCTCTGTGTTGCAGCATGTTTTGAAACATGTTTATGTTATATTATACCAACAGATTATGCCAAGAGTGAGGGTCAGAAAGACAGACAGAGGTCTGACTCAGCCAGATTTTTTCATGCACATTTTGGAATTAAGTATAAAAACAGCTGGATAAAAACATGACTATTTTTGCATTATTTTGAGAATTTATATTTATGTTATGAATATTCATTGTAATATTGTTCATATTGTTGAAGAATTTTTTTAAAAAATGGTTTGACATTGCCAATAAAAAACATTTTGAGTATAAGTATAGGATTGGGTTACTTTATAGATAATAAATAAAATGAAAATGTAATTTATAAATTTTTTGCAAAGATAAAGGACAAAATACATTTGCAGTTACATATTAACAAGGTTATAGTCACGTGTATTTAATAAGAACAAGGGAAACACAAAACATCTAGTTGTGTTACTTTCGACCCAACTGATGGGGTCATTTAAAGTGAAATTATACAGAAGTCATTCTACATTTGTACAAAATACCACCTGATATTGATAGACCACACCTGTGAGTTAGTGACTACAGCAAAAATATGTCACTGTCTACAACATAATCTTTTAAAATCAGGTTTTTCTGAAAAATGGTACTTTGGCCCCTGCTCTCCCCTACATGTGTTTAACACATTCAACACATTGGAACCATCCAGATCGAAAGATTATTAAAAGTAAAATAATTTTTGTTGTATGAATATTGCATGGTATACTGCCACAGTCTAATATGAGAAACTGCATGTGGTTACTGTATTTGACTCCCAAAATAAAATATTACAAACTAATCCGCCTCAGAATGACATTATTTTGCCTTATCATTCCTGTTTTTGTATGGCCTGTAAGTGATAATATTTCTCACTTCCATTTTCTAAATAAATAGATCCTGACAGCACTCACACCTTCATCCAACACTTCAGCCACTAAATTCTAACTTAAGATTCACCAATGTGTTGTTTATCACACAATACTAATCACCTTTTTACCACTTTTGGATAAACATTAGACACAGTAGACAGACAAAATTATCTTCTACAGAGAACTCTATGCACTGATACAAACACAAGCCTTTCTCTAATGGCTGTGTTAAAACACCTTAACATCTGTAGCAATCATGGCATTATGTTTTCTCTTTTATAGCCAGGGAGGGGAACGTGCGAAGTATGTCACCTGCCTTGAATGAGGATGATGGGTTATCTGCAAGATTTCTAAAGAGGACAACCAGCATCAGAAGAGATGTGACACCTGTAAAGCAGCCTTATCCCCTTTTGAAGTGCCCGTTTGTATTGTTGAAGCCAGCAAAGGAATTTTGCCACCTCTGTACTTACAAGAGAACATTATTCAAACAGGGGAGATAACAAGGAGGGGAGGTGATATGGGAGACATACTAATGCATTACACAGTCTAAAGGTGTGTGTGTGTGCACATGTATGTATATGCATTTGATAATTACACTGTCTGCTCTGTCTGCTTCAGTTTAAGGAAGAGATGGGAGTTTTTCAGGGAGGCCTCTGTTATGTTATGCTCTTGCAAGATGTGGTCTGGTAGTGGGTGTAGTGGTGGTGGGGTGCCAGGCCTCGAGGTTGACAGGGTGTCATCCTCTAGGTGAATGTGGGCTGGGGTTGCAGTGGGAGGCAGACATGATCACTCTTTAGCCACCTCTCTGTAGTTCAAAGCAGTTCAGCTGGTAGGATGAGTATGTATGCATTTCCAGATGCAGTTTCAGTCAATTTCACTAATATGAATTAGCTCTTTCTCAAATCTACTGTATTTGTTGGTTTAGATAGGGATAAAGACATCATTTTTATAGTATTCCCATAATAGCTATGAAAAGACTGAGATTTGTTATTCACGTGTGGATCAGTGAGTGTAATGTTGTTTGTTTTTATGGGGTGTTATTTAGTTATACAATGATGATGTGTCTTACAGACAGGTCCTCCCTGAGTCTTTTTAGGGTCCCAGGTGAGATTTTGCTGTGTGGGCCCCTCCACGTCTTAACCAGTGCATGCCAAAACTGCATGACACCTGCTCAAA